GAGTTCTTTAAGGATTCACCATCTTTGAATAATGAATTGAGAGAAGTCTTTGGAACCGGATAAAATTAATTCTCAACTTATCTTCTTTTACTTAGTAGAAAAAAAATGAGTTGAATGTTACAAGAACAATTCCTTTTGTTCTAAAAGTGGAAACCAATGCAATTAAAGACAAAATGGATTCAATAATGTCAAATAATAATTAGAAAATTGCCGATTTTCCACCGGCATCCGAATCTGTTGGATGTAAATGGGTATTTAGGAAAAAATATAATGTTGATGGATCTCTAAATACCTTCAGGGTTAGATTGGTAGCCAAAGGTTATCGACAAAAGGAAGGAATCGACTATTTTTACACCTATGCGCCGGTAGCTAGAATAACATCGATTAGGATATTATTCACATTATCTTCGATACATGACTTGTATGTTCTTCAAATGGATGTTAAGATGGCACTTGTAAATGGGGATCTCGATGAGGAGCTCTTTATGAAACAACCTGAAAAGTTTGTTCTACCTGAAAACGAACATAAGATGTGCAAGTTGCTAAAATTGTTATACGGTTTGAAGTAAGTACCTAAGAAATGACATGAGAAGTTTGGTGTAGCAATAGTATCATTCAGGTTTAAGCATATAGTGTAGATAGATGTTTATATTCTAAAGTATGTGATGATTATGTGACATTTATATGCTTATACGTTGACGACTTGTTGATTATAAGTAATCACGTGGACAGTATAGAAGAAATGAAGAGGTTTCTATCTTCTACATTCAAAATGAAGGATCTTAGGCAAGTGGATATCATTTTAGGTAACAAATCACAAAGAGTAGTGGGGGTTATCACCTAAGTCAATCACATTATATCGAGAATGTGATAAATAAGTTCAAAAACATAAATGCAAAAGAGTATAGTACCTCGATTGATCCAAGTTCAAAACTTGCAAAGAATGATGGAAGGGTATTTTCTCAATTGGAATATGCAAGTTCTATTGGTAGTCTTATTTATGCAGTTCAATGCATAAGACCAGACATAGCTGATGCAATAAGTAAACTTAGTAGATTTATTAGCAATCCAAGTAATAATCATTGGAAGGCTATTTGAAGAGTCCTTAGATACTTAAGAAAACCAAGAGCTTAGGCCTACAATATACTAAATTCCAAGCAATATTGGAAGGATTCACTAATACTAGTTGGATATCTAGCATGGGTAAAGGTAAATCCACCTCGAGTTGGGTGTTCACTCTAGGTGGAGTTCTGTTTCTTGAAAATCAAAAAACAAACATGCATATAAGAAAACTAATCAAAGATGGAATAATTTTCCTAAATTACGTAAGGTCAATTGAGAATCTAGTGGATCTTTTGACTAAACTTTTAAATAGAAATTTAGCGGCGTCTATTTCGAATAGGATGTGATTCAAACACATTAACTAAAAAGGTCCACCAATGATTGCAACCCTACATGTCATTACTTAAAAAATAATCCACGGGTTCAAAGGGTAAAAACAAGTCATTCGATATGTAGATAGTTACAGCATTATTAAAATTCGCAATAACCCTATCCTATTTCAAAATAATGCTGCTTGTTACTGAAGTAAGGGGTTGAGCTTTAAACTCTTAATGAAGTTCAGTACTAAAATACAAGTACCTCTAAAAGCTACAAAGGTACTGGAAGAACTTCATTTAGACAAATTTCAAAGTGATGTCGCTTAAATAGAGAGTTAGAGTTTCTCTCTTAAAAAGTTTGTTGAAAAGGATAATCGTAAGGCCATAATAGCGTTAAGCGAGTTATGATGAACTTGAGAACACGTGATACTCTTGTATATGTTCTTACCGGCATTATCACTGGTTCAAAGCTTTACGCTACATTTGATTCCGACTTGACTTTGTTTGAATTACACTATAGTTAGATTCAAAGATTCCCCAATTGTTCAAAATATCAAGGTCTCAATTCAAAGTATACAATACTCATGCATAAGGATTAGATATGTGGAATGAACGGGGGCTTTCGGCCATTTTAAGCCCATGTGACCACATGGGTGTAATGACCATGCAGCCGCATGACCATAAGGTCTCAATATATATAAACCATGCGACCGCATAGGTTTGTACCATGCGGTCGTATGGTACAAAATTTTCGATCGTTGGAGACTATTTTTGAACATTACAAAATTGATTTTTGTGGCGTTTCTTGAGTTTTTTTAGCACCATTTCGTGTACAAGTCGAAGTCTATAAATATTAGAGCCATGATTCAAGGAAAATACATTGAAAACTCTTGAGTTTCAAATTATTCCAAAAAAAAAAAGATCAAAATCTTATTTCTATTCATATTCAAACTTCGTCATTTGTGTTCTTCAAGTTTTAGATAATTTTACTTTGTAATTTGGTGAAATTCTTTACAAGGCTTATTATAATCCTTCAAACTATTTACTGGATTACCCTTAAGCATCTCATAAACATTAGAGAGGGGGCAAATAACATTTGATGACAGCGATCTGGCGTTCAGCCTTCAAAATTGTTATTGAAAACTTTCTGATTTCTTCATTTTGTTGCTGCAATTTTTTGTGTTATTTCTTTTGTTCCTTCTCCATCCCTCCAATATTTACAACATTTAGGTCACCAGGAGTTTTGACAGCATTGACGGGAATAAGTGGTATAAGAAAAACTACAGTAATGGATGTTTTAGCTTGAAGAAAGACTCGTGCTTATAGTGAAGTTGATATTCTGGGCTCCCAAAGCGACAAGATTCATTTTCAAGAATGACGTGAACAAAATGATGTCCATTCATCTCGAGTAACTTCCTATGAATCTTTGATTTACTTTGCTTTCTTTCAGCTTTCTAAAGAATATGTAAGGAAGAAAAGTTGGTAATAACAACTTTAAAATAGGATATTTTAGTATATTTAACGTTAAGGAGCGTTTGATTTGCTTTTTTCAATTTTTTGTTTGGTAAAACACTTGAAATTCATTTGATTTGATATTTTTAAAAACAAGATTAAATTCATAATATAAAATTCAATTTGAATTTGAATTGAAGGAGCTTCAACAAGGCCATCTCATCAATTATTTGCTATTCGTGAAGTACTCATATTTATCTTGAATTTTGCACCTAAGTGTGTTTATTTTTATACTTTTAAATTCAGATCTTGAAGTTGGGAATCCAAGCTTACATCTTCAACTGTAAGGTTGGAGTTTGGTTTCTTGAGAATTTTAAGGAAAAAAAATAAAGTTTTTGAGGTTTACTTGGAGTTGCAGGGAGGTATCTCTATTGGATTTCTTAAAGTTCCAATTGGATTAGCGAAATAAAGGGTTTGTTTATGTTTTGATTGTGATAATTTTGGTCTATTATTTAAGAGTTTAAATGTTTCACGAAAATGGGATTTTGGAGGGTAAGTTGTTCGATGGAATATTTGAGATCATTGGGACGAATTCAAACCACCAAAGTGATCACTTAATGGACATGGGTTGAATGGATATGTTTTGCAAAAATCATTAGTATTGAGTTTGGTCCTATCACAAGCAATATAGGCTTCAGTGGTGCAACTCAACTCTTTACCACCCCTAAGGGCAAGAGACAAAGCAAAATAATGTGATTTGATAAGTTTCGACAAGGTATTATTGAGTGTAGGAAGAAATTATTGTAATTAAGTATGTGTAGATTCTACCTACCTATCTTAGTTATTGTCTTATTGCGTGTACATAGTACGAAGAAGGGTGATTTTTTTGGAGCCTAAAACCATTGAAGCCCTTTTATTTGCAGACTAGTCTTAATATGTTAATACTTTTCACTTCATAAAATGTCCACATAAAAATGAAGTAGAACAAAATCTGAACATTCTCATCATTTTAACATTTCAAGATAGCCAAAGAATGTTCAAATTTTCAGTGAAAAATAAGATCACATATGCTTAAAATCGCGTTGTCACTACTATCCACCTATGAATGAGATTCCATAAAATTTCTTTCTTCCTAGAAGGATGGCTAAGACAAGTCATCCTCTCTCATAGCAAGCAAGGTAGTAGTAGCATGCCCCTCATGGGACGGCTAAGTTGGTGGAGTAGGTGAGCGTCGAGACCTTTGGTCACGAGTTCTATTCCCCCTACCAATATCTTTTCGATTGAGCATGTCGCATCGAACTTACCTAATATGATTTACCTGGCTTACGTGATTTGCAAACTATTGCGTCAACCAGAGGGTTTGCCTAGGGCGCATCCGAATGGTAGCAGCTATGGATTCTCCCGTCACAAAAAATAAAAAAAATAAGGGTAATAGTAGCTTTTGGTAAATGATAAATTAAAACATTTAAAGTATTTCAATCAAATTGGAATAATGCGTACAAATAAAGAAAGAATTAACTTACTATAATCAGTCTAGATAAGTTATTTTGAAATCTTGTAAGTTACATTAAAATCCTGTAAAACAATACTCTTGAAACAAGAGGTATAGAAGAGAAATTATTATTTATGGATAACAATAATGAATATTTATTAATGTAAAAGTATTTTATATCATTATCTATACATGCATTATTTTTAACCAAAATACATGTACGACTTAAATAAAAATGGAAAGCAAAAAACATTGTATGTATCAGAAGTTTTATGATTCACAAAAAAAGAAAAAGTTTTAAGAGGTTTTCAAAAAAATTAATGAAATATTTGATTGAAAAAATAATAAAAATTATAGATTGGATAAATGTGTAGATAATATTAAAGTTTGATCAATTAAAAAATTAACAAATTTTAACAAACAAGCACTTCTGGCTCTTTATTGGTTGTGTCAATAGTAACAAAGTTACACTACTTGTATAAAATTAGTTGACAAAGTTGATTTACAAAACAACATTTACAACAATTATTTCAAAAACTCTTTTTTAAATCATTTGAAATCAAAGATTTGTTTTATCAACCATTTTTTGTCAACTTATTTTGTACAATTAAATTAATTCAAAAATCAATTAGAAAAGAGGAATCATACAGTCACGTGACTGACCACCAGAACCAAGGCAACTCACTACATGTGACTCTCTTTTGCTGTTAATGATATTTTCAGATGCTCCACTTTGCACGCTCAAGTCAAGTCGTCTCATAGTTTTCAACCCGCACACCCAGAGAGCAGAATAGATTCTGGTACAATTTTACAACAGCAAGAAGGAGAAATGGGGTCGGAGTCGAACATGGTTCACTCACCCATGGTCACATACGCCTCTATGCTCTCTCTTCTCACGCTCTGCCCTCCTTTTGTTATTCTCCTGTAAGTTTTTTTATTCATTTTGATCTTTATATGTAATTTTCGTATTGATCTAGTTTTGAATCTTAGAGATTCTGGATCTATTGAATTGCCAATTTGAGGTTTTCCTGCTTGTCTGGGTTCCTAAAGGCAATTGAATTAAATGCTGGGAATACTAGATGCGCTTCCTTTTCTAAGAAAAAGTAGCAATCTTTATGCTTTTCTATAATTAATTACGAAATATGACAGAGTTTGATTCCTTCAGATCTTTATCCAAATACACTGTTTTGGGATACTTTTATAATTCTGCAGCAATCCCATCTAGTCAGCAGTTACACAAAGAAAATGGTGATTTATAGTATGAATGAATTAATGCAATCACCGGTAATGTATTAGATGTTTTAGTACATGGTGATTTTGTGTGATTTCAGTACCTTTGCGTCGCTTTGAATGACTTAATTATGTCAATTAAAAGAAGCTCTATCAAATTCTTTTTCGACATAATTCTTTGTATTTTTGACATGAGTTAATGCATGCAGATGGTATACCATGGTGCATGCTGACGGATCTGTATTGCAAACCTTTGATTACCTAAGGCAGCATGGCCTGCAAGGATTCAGGGACATCTGGCCAAAACCCACAGCAACGGCTTGGAAGATCATAGCCTGTTATGCAGCATTTGAGGCTGCACTTCAGCTTTGGTTACCTGGAAAAAGGGTTGTGGGTCCAATATCTCCTACTGGAAATCAGCCCGTATACAAGGTACTAAGGCTTGCATATCTTTGCTTCATTGTGCCTGTATGTGTGAAAGTTATGCATGTCTAGGCCATTGTTTTAGCGGATTTCGTATTGTCAAGACTTACACTAGGACTGTAGTTACATAGTATTAACTTCATGTCTATGGTGGTTTTCATCTATACGTTTTCAATTGCTTATTGCAGGCAAATGGTGTTGCAGCATATGCAGTAACATTGATTACGTATCTTGGTCTTTGGTGGTAAGAATTTTTTTAACAAAATTTTCTTGCAATTGGCATGTACACTTTGCTTGATAGCGCTGACTATTTCTCCTCTAACAAATGGTTTTCGGAATATTATTATTCTTGTTTGTAGATGGGAAGTATGAAATTCTGCTATTCTGTTTGATATCTTAGATTTATATTTCATGCACAAACGATCAAGTTATTGAACCAGAGACACAGTAACTTATGTGTAAATTGTTTTGCACTTAATAGTCATGCAGCTGTATGTTGTGCTATGATTATTTATGATGTCTATATAATTATCTGCTGCTTTAGGTCTGTTTTTTACCTTCTTAAGTAATTCAGAAGTTTATTTGCCTGCATCTTTTGAGTTTATGTTATTCATTTTCGTAATCCCTTAGGTTTGGAATTTTCAATCCCACAATAGTTTATGATCATCTTGGAGAGATTTTTTCAGCTCTCATTTTTGGGAGCTTTATCTTCTGCATTCTCTTGTACATAAAAGTAAGTGTTCACAATACAAATTTCTATTAAGTTTCTCCTTATTCTCAAGGATATATCTGAGTTTCTAACTCTTGCGGCCATGTATTGAAGGGACTTGTTGCACCATCTTCAACTGATTCTGGTTCATCTGGAAACATAATAATTGACTTCTATTGGGTGAGCTTCTTAGCAGCTTATTACTCTGTAACTTTACTTTCTTTCCATGTGATTGGCAATATACCTACGGAAAAGAAAGGTAATGAATTAAATTAAACTTTTAACCTTGTAACAAAATAAATTATGTAAGTTGAATACAATAGCTGTGTGATTGAATTGCAGGGCATGGAGCTGTATCCTCGTATTGGCAAGAACTTTGACATAAAAGTATTTACAAATTGCAGATTTGGGATGATGTCTTGGGCTGTTCTTGCTGTGACCTATTGCATAAAGCAGGTAAACATGGTATTAGCAATTTCCAATATTGTGGTGCTTATATATTTTTGTATAAAAAATTGCTTCTTTTATGTCAAAACTCTCCCTTTAGTAATTTCACTCTCAAACGGTCAATCTCTATTTAGTTGGGCAGCGAAGAGAGCTGCAAAATTTTCATTTTCTTTTCTGGTAGGCCTAAATTTTCATATCTGTGAATCAATCAAATGTTCTCCAGTAGAATTTTGGTGTTGAAGATATAGATCTCTAGTAAATTAACGTTCTATATTTAAGCAAACTGCTAAATAACTTGCAGAGGGTGACTTATATTTTCTTCCTGCAGTATGAAACATATGGGAAGGTTTCTGATTCCATGCTTGTCAATACGATGTTGATGTTGGTATATGTAACAAAATTCTTTTGGTGGGAAGCTGGATATTGGAACACAATGGATATTGCTCATGATAGAGGTTTGTTCTGTCAAAGTGACTCCTGTGTACCTCATTGTAATCACATTTTTCCCTCATGTTAGTTTCTTTAATGCTTAACAACGCTGTTGGAATTTGCAACATTATCTTTCCAGCTGGATTTTATATCTGCTGGGGATGCTTGGTATGGGTTCCATCTGTTTATACTTCTCCTGGCATGTACCTTGTCAACCATCCCGTGGATCTTGGAATGCAGGTAGCTCGTCTGATGTTTAGCATCTCTTCTCCATTTTTCCTGAAGTTAAATATAGAGTTCTTTGTGGTAATATATGCTAGTTGCACTGGTTTAGAGATGTGCTATTCTGAACTGTTCCAACTTCTCCACTATATTACAGCAGGTTTTATCAAAGTCAAAAACAGTGTCACAGTGGGGAGACACAGAGACACCTGACTCGAAACCCACTGATCGAGAATAATCTTTAGCATAGTCTAAATGAATATATTAAAACTAAATTAAAATATTGTCTCTAACAAGTCTTATCTTTTTCCAGCTGGCTCTCTATATTCTTGTAGCAGGCATTCTTTGCATATATATCAACTATGATTGTGACAGGCAAAGGCAAGAATTTCGCAGAACAAATGGCAAAGCCTTGGTTTGGGGTAAAGCTCCATCAAAGGTATAAATGGTAGCATCATTGACTTCTGGTGGCTGCTTCACTTTCAAGCTTACATTATGCTAAATTTGGCTGTTGCATCAATTATGCATTATTTTCTTCTTTAGAAAATAAAATTGTTCACTTTTTTTATAGATTCACGCCGAATATACAACAACTTCGGGTGAGACAAAATCAAGTCTATTACTAACATCAGGATGGTGAGTTATTTTTATATTGCAATTGTAGAACAATAGTAAAACTACGTAAGATTCTGTTGTTAGTATTAGCACCTATTTGGAAGAAATTAAAATTCAATTTTAATTTAAGTCAAAGTCAACAACTAATTTTAACTATATATTTTATGGGATCCACAAGTTTTCAACCATGTATTTTATTAGCTTTTATCAAAATCTACTAAAAATCTTAGGGTGCGTTTGATTGTTAATATTTTCCAAGGAAAATGTATTTTTTCCACCCAAATTCTTAATTTTGTACTGCTTGATTCACAATTTTTTCAATGGAAAACATTTTCCTACTTTTGATCACATGATCATGTTTTCTTCAAAATCAAGAAAAATATTTTTTTTAGGATGAATAGGATTTTTATTTTCCAGGGAATTTACTCTCTATTTTTCTCTCTCATCTATTCACTCCCTCTCACCTACCCACCAATAAAAAACGAACAAGTATAATATTTTCTAGGTTGAGAATTATATCAATCAAGTACATTTAATTGACAATTTCCTTGCAAATAAATTCTAGGTAATTGAACTACCTAGAATTTATTTTCTTTCTATACAAATTCAATGCGTGTAATCAAACGCACCCTTATTTTAATCCCTACCATGCAGGGGCGTAATTTATTGTCTATCTGAATTTTATGACATCATCTGCTGATGTAGAATATATTTTAGTCAAAAAGACAACTTGCTAATATTTGAAAATATAGAAAGAAACTGTATACTTAAAAGCCAATGTCAAATGTTATTGTTG